CATGTGTTCGTCTCGAAATTCCATGAACTGAAGGCCATTTTGGCAGATCAAGGCATGTCTGGCAGCATCTTATGACTTTCAGAAAGCCTCCTTCTCAGCCACATTCTTTTTTGGACCAGTAACTGGACCAGAAAAGAAATGCCAGGGGTCAAACGAAGAGCACTAACTGAATGGCAGTGGGAGGCAGAGCTGGCGGTGCCATTTGGCAGGTTTAGCTATTCACCTCAGGTAGCAAAGGCGAGAAAGAGACAAAATGGCTGCTTTGCAATTAGATGATGACAAACCATTATCCCTCCGGAGAAACATTGGTCACAGCTGCCTTGTTCGCACAATTAACAGGCAAAGAAAGCCTTACATTTGCTTTCCAATGATAGATCACCAAATAAAGACAATTTAAGTTGCAATTTTGTGGTGCTGCAACACATTGCTGGCAGGGACTCAGTTCCATAGAGTCTGCCATCCTGATGGCATTGCTCTCAGCTTCACTGACACACCCAAACCAAAACAATCCTTGTTAAAACAATTTCAGAGAGAGAGAGAGAGAGAGAGAAAGAGAGAGAGAGAGAATTGACTTAAATAGTAAACCTCAGAAGATTACTAGCAAATGTTAGTGAGGACCTGGGGGTGGGGGCAGAGGGCTCACGCATGGCAGGACCTGCACCTGAGCTTTATCATATGAATAAAGAATTTTTTTCTGTTCACTACATCACTTTTGAAATATTGCATCATTATATGCCTGTTACAAAAAGGGAGTAACTTATAAGTTTGTATGTTGTATGAACCTTGCAATGTATTAAAATGAGCCACCAGATCACTGTACTACTCATACGTCTTCCAGAAACTCTACCTGCAATTTTAGATATTGTTACACCTATAAAACAACTACGCAGGGATGATTTATAACACAAATGAATTGCAGGAGAACCTGCCTTATGCTCTGTTTTGTTCACTGGCCTTCTTACTTCTGATTGAATAAAGAATATGTGATCAAACTCTGAAATATGTAGAACAGGCAAGTTGATATTGCTCAAACAATTTTAATGGTAATAGACGCCCTTTCATTTGAAAAATATTCTGAAATATTTAGTGCCAAGCATGCCAAGCAACAAAGAAATGAACAGACTATTTTTTCCAGCTGGAGCATTTATTCTAATTAAGGTACTAGATTCCACACCAAAGTTAATTTGTGTTTTTGTGGCATTCACACAACATAAAGCTTGCCTTGACATATCCAATGACTTTTTCTGGAAGTTCACATGTTTTTTTATCTACCCTGGTCTCACATTGTTCCAGGGGTGGAGTTTAGTGTTATAGATCAGGGGTCCCTAATCCCCGGTCTGCAGCCAGTTCCTTGAACTGGGCCATGGACACGGATCTCCGGCACCCTGCACACATGCATGGGCATGTTGAGCTGGATGTGTCACACTTGTGGGTGGGCGTGTCACACTCGTGTGCATGTCCATAAGCATGACACGCCCCTCTGCAAAGTGAAACATGCCCACCCGTGAGCACGACGCACCCACCCATGAGCGTGACACCCACCCACAAGCGTGGGGTGCCCCCACTCCCCGCGCACGGAGCCCACACCCCCAACCAGTCCGCAATCCAAAAAAGGTTGAGGACCGCTGCTATATATCAGTGGTTTCCAACCTTGATTCCCCAGATGTTCTTGGACTAAAACTCCCAGAAGACTTCACTACTAGCTGTGCTGGACAGGATTTCTGGAAGTTGTAATCCAAAAACATTGGGGACCCAAGGTTGGGAACCACTGCTCTACTGCTTCTGGTTAAGTTGTTGTCCACCATTAGGGTTTCCTGCTTGGTAGCTTTCAATTAGCACTCAAGATAACTCAAATCCAACCAAAGTAATGCAGCTTCTGCCCAGAAGTTCCAGTAGGAAGTGGATTTTTAAAAAGTTTGTTAAAAGAGATAAGTGTCTTTCTGACAAAGAAGAGAAATAAGCTTATTTGGCTCCAAATTCCAGTAATATGGTCTTCCTTCAGCATCAAATAGCAAATGGGACAGGGAATGATTTGCCTGAAAGAGCTCTAACGTGATTTGCTACTGCAGTGGGGATAGGGAATGAGTAGCCAATGTTGTTAGAAGGCAGCCTCCATCATCTCTCCACATTTGCTACAGCCAATGGGAGCTCCAGCATCATTCAGAAGACCACATATTCCCTGTTCCTGAGCTACTGATTTGGCCTACTGTAGGATACAAGATTTGGCCTACTAAATGATCATATGGAGAGATGGGGGTCAAACTGCAAGCCCAAAAACTACATAAAATGATACCCACATCTCATATGTAGGATTCCTGCATCAAAAATATGTGCTTTGTCAATTTTACTGGTAAATAATCCCCTGGAGTCTTTCTGATAATCATAGACTCAGTAATTTACCAACCACCTGACCATCTAGTCCTTCTCTGGGTTCTGATGGCTTATGTTAAATCAAGGCATGTGAATCATGATAAAGTAAACAAACCAGTTACTCAGGAAGGTTTTAACAGCATTTGAATTATTTTCCATGTAGTGAATCCACTGGCCACAACAATAACACCCATTACAGACAAATGAAATATCTTCGTCAAAGTTGTATCATGCCGATTTGCCAAATCAATAAAGTTCTGGCCCAGCGATGCCCGAAACATTTGTAGAAATTTGGAACTCAACAGAGGCTGCTTCCAAAGCTCATCCTATTATTGTCAGACAGACAGGAGCACGTGGTAGAAATCCTTACTCCCCTAGGCGGCAGGGCTTAATCCGAGCAAGACAGTTCAATTCCAGAACCTGTTTTGTTTGGTAGGATTGAGTCCTGGCTCACAGACAGTAACCAAAAAAAGCAAGGTATGCCTTTGGTTTTGTGCATAGTACTTTTAAGTTTGATAAACCTGGGCTTGAGTCTGATTAGTAAGAGCTTCTAGCGAAGAAATTGGGTTAAATATGTTAGCTCTCATTTTAGAAACTGAATGTGCAGTGCTTGACTATGTCGATCAAACCATTGCAAGTTGTGACAGCAGAAGTACATTATTTTTTGTTTTCAACTTTTAATTCTCATGTTTTATCAGTTCACCAACTTTTTATGAAATATTGGGCATTGCAAATCTACTGCTAATTAGTTTGAATAATCTCAGATTCTAGAACTTTGAGATTTATGGGAAGGGACTTCTGTCTATCCAGTTTTCTCTCATGATTCATAATTCTAAATAATATATTCGTGAAGGCTTTCGTGGCCGGGATCTAATGGTTGTTGTGGGTTTTTTGGGCTCTTTGGCCATGTTCTGAAGGTTGTTCTTCCTAACATTTCGCCAGTCTCTGTGGCCGGCATCTTCAGAGTGCGACTGGTGAAAAGTTAGGAAGAACAACCTTCAGAACACGGCCAAAAGCCCGAAAAACCCACAACAACCAATTCTAAATAACGTTTTCATGTGCTGTCAACTTAGTTGTCTTCAATGCCAAAAAACCCCAATGACCCAATGCCTTTCTTCCTTAAGGGAGATGGTTCATTCCCATTTACAAAAAATGTTGGCTATCTTAGTGGCTAGACTTTCTCTCCTGCAGTTCTGGTCTTACTGCAGCAGCCTGCTTTCCACATTTCCAAAGGAATCACATTTGTAAGGTGGCCAGATGTTGGCAAGTGTAGGACAAAGACTAGGCTAATGTCACACAGACGTCAGCTACACAGGAGTTTATCCTGTTCTGCAATCTGCTGCTGGAATGGTTTGGATCTCTGTAAAAAAATGTGGACTACAATCATGATGTTCTTGTTAGGGCATTTCAGCCCATCCCGAACAGGGACCAATCCATCCCGGATTAATGTGGACTACATGATGTTCTTGTTAGAGCATTTCAGCCCATCCCGAATAGGGACCAATCCATCCCGGATCGGTCTAGGGCTGGAGCCTAATGCTCATGTGGAACAATTAGAATCAGTCCAAATACACTCTGTTTTCTTGCCGTGTGATCAGCAAGATTGTTCCAATGTGGGGTTGGAGGTGTGTTCTTCCTGCATGTCGATGGCAATGCGTAGAGGTGGGTGAGGTTGGGCCAACGCTGTGGATGGCACCCTCCATCCTATTTTGAAATTTAAAAAGCCATTTTGCCTTTAATGTTATATATTTTCATTAAAAAAAATCTTTGCCACTCTTGCGCTGCAGGGATATCAGTTCAGCTCTTTAGACATGTTTATTGCCTGCCAGTTTCACAAATTTGACATTGCTCCGTATCACTCCACGAAAACTACATAGCACAACAGGACGGTAGGCAGTAGTGGGTTTTTTGTTTTGTTTTTAAAGACAGGAACGTATTCTGGTAATTGAAGAGAGCTCAAGGGTCACTTAGGGGTCTTCAGTGATGAAACACCAAATACCAAGTTTAAAAAAAAACAAAGAGGAGAAAGGACGGGCTGAAAAATGGTACTCACTGCCCCCCCCTTTGTGCGCATAACACAAAACCCCACCACCAAATGCCCCAAACCCAGCACTAATGCCCACTTGCAAGCAAACGGGTGCAGGCTCTTTCCCAACTAGCCATTGTACAAGAGAAGACAGGAGGTGGGAAATGAGAAGCAACCAGACCAAAAAGGAGTGATCTAATGTCAACATGTAGTTGACTAGATTGTAACTATAGCGGCTCCATGAGCGATTTCCATGTGAACGGGAGGAATGATCTAATCAACCCCCACTGTTCCAAACTGACCCAGACTTGATTGCTTCCTGTCACTAATGTTACCATACCCGCAGCTCCATCTTGTGAAGTAATCTACTACAGCAAAGACAGCACGGAGCGGAGGTGAAGTTGTGGGGTGCCGAAAGAGGGTCTCCGCTTTTCCCTCCTTCTTTGCCTTTTCCTCCCTCCCCCTATGCAGTGAATAGACATGGACACAGGATGTCACTGTATCACATTCACAGATTACAGCACAAAAGCTGGTGGGCAAGCCGGAGGAGCATGGGAAAGATAAAGGTGAAAGGCCACCAATGGCTCAGAAACGGGAGTCCAAACTCTTGCTAGGGGTTAGGTGTCTTGACAGATGCCAGTGCCCAAAGCTGAACGCCATCGGCTGGAGCAGCCTGCCTGGTATGTTCAGGCTTTCATCTGTCCTGCAGAGATAGATGACACTCTCCCTTGCGCTCCTCCTTCCGAACTCTAGCTCCATAGGGTGTGTGGCACAAGAGACGAGGCGGAGCGTCACGCTTCAAGCGATAATGCCTGGCAGACACCCCAGCTGCAGTCTTACACAGTCTCACTTCAACAGCAGCAGAGGCAGGAGGGAAAGACTGGGCACCTCAGAGGTCTTTTGGCACAGCGGAGGACAGGTAAGTACCTTGCATAACCTCTGGTGCCAAGCCAGAGCAGTGAGGACCTGGGGGTGGGGGCAGAGGGCTCACGCATGTCAGGACCTGCACCTGCGCTGCAAAGAGGAAAGTCCTCACTGAACAATGTTAGAGGTCGATTTCAAAGAAACAGCTATGTGTTTGCTTGCAGCCTTGTGCGTCCAACATGTTATGCAAAGTTTCTAGGAAAATCAGCTGGAGGACTCTACTGCAGAGGCCAAAAGCAGAAGGCTGGGCTTATCTCTTGGTGAGAAACAATGCATACCATCAGCACCGAGTGCCAGCATACAGTGCACACTCTAGAAAGTGTCTCTGGCTTTTGTCCAGGCACTTGATATATGAGGGATTGCAGCGTAGTGGCAAAAACGCACAGGGTCAGGCAGAGGAATGGTATAATGTGGAATTCCAGCAAAACCGGAGTCATTTTGCCCTGACTGCTATCCCCTTATACTGGTCCTGTTTATTATGACACAAATGGATGATGCAGTGTGATGTCACTGAATTATGTATTTTTCTCCTGTAGCCTCACATAGTTGGCTGTTAGTGGCAGAGCTGCTGCCACGTATTATGTCCTGTGACACATTACTGAGAGAAGGGTGGACATGCATGAAGAGCAATGAGAACTTTGGCTTCTTGGAGTGTGTAACCCCCCCCCACACACACACACTTTAAGATTGCTGAGAAAAGATGTTGGGAGTTTGGGAATAACACATGATGCTTTGTAGGGAATTTTCCTCATATCCACAATGAAAATTGGATTTGCCTTTGTCTAGAATATGGCTCAGACTGAGGGTAGGATACAGAAATACTTGCAGATAGGAGTGGATGCATTTCCCTCCCTGCTGTAGGCAAGTCTATCTTCTACCCATCTTTACGTCTCAGATTACTTGTGGTGATGCTACTCAGGTTCTATGTTCAGTGGATGTTTTTGGTGGATGCTCAATACTTGTAGAACTCCAGTTTCTTAGAGTTTTGGGACCTTTATCAGTGGGCTTGTTTTTAGTGGTCCGTGGCAAGCAAGAAGCAGCCAACCAGTACCATAGAGACTCAGTTTGTTAGACAGTCTCGAAAATTAGTGGTCATGACAGATAGGAGACTACTAGAAGGGTGAGACATTAGGAATTGAAACAACCAGATTTATACCAGGTAGTAGATCTGCTGTTTCCCTCTTGGTAAAAGCTATCTTCCACTTTCCTTTACAGTTTTCATAAACAGTTCTTATAATTCTGTAAGTCCAGTGTTCCTTAACCCCTGGAAAATATGTTTGCTTTAACCATTTCAACCAAGAGCCAAACTATACATTACGGATAACATATCAGTAGAAACAGAAATGGTGTAGGTACTGGAAATGTCTAATTGTCACAGCAGAAGATTTTTACTTCTCCCATAGTTTAGAGGTACCCATGTTTTGCTTTGAGATTTGTCCTCAGGAGTTAAAGCACAGGCTTTGTTTGCAAGTACAGTATCATTGCTCTGTCACAAGAATCTAAAGGAATCATGTTTCAGAAATATGTTTTCAGCTTCGAATTACGTTTTGTATAGTAATCTATATTTTGGCCCTGAATTAGTTCTTCCATCTGGATGTATTTATTTCCTCTCTTTCCTCATAGAGGTAGAAACAAATACAAAAGAAAACAAACAAAAAGCTGGGGGGAAGGGAAATTTACGGCATCAGTTCCCCTCACATTTGATTCTCTCAGAAAGCATCAGGTTGTGGGCAGAGTAGTTGCAAGAATTTGTTTTCAGTGCTGGGAATTGAGGAACCAATCTCCCTACAAATTCCTCAGTTAGATCATTTGATCAGAATATGTTTAGAGGTGAGGGGAAACTGAAGCTTGCTGACTGTGACCCTGTATAACCTAAGGGCTTATTCCTGGTCCATAGGGCATCTGGGCATTCTTATCAAGAAGGGGCTGCAAACATCACTAATTAACTTTTCCTGCTCCTTACTGCAGCTGTAAGCTGTAGCTACTGTAGAAAAGATAGTCAAGTGTAAGGTTGTGTCACTGGACACCAAGATCATCTGCGTTCTTATCTTTCCGATCTCCATGTATGGGCACGAAAGCTGGACAATTAAGAAAGCTGACAGGGAAAATTTGATTTGTTTGAAATATGGTGCTGGAGGAGACCTTTGAAAATACTGCCAGAAAGATGAACAGGTGGGTCCTTGAGAAAATCAAGCCTGAACTATCGCTGGAAGCAAAAATGATGAAACTGAGGCTGTCCTACTTTGGGCACATTATGTGAAGGTAGGATTCTCTGGAAAAGCCAATAATGCTAGGAAAGGTAGAAGGCAGGAGGAAATGAGGAAGACCAAGTACAAGATGGACTGGCTTCCTAAAGGAAGCCACAGGCTTATGTTTACAAGAGCTGAACAGGGCAGCTGAGGATAGGACATTTTAGAGATCACTCATTCATAGAGCCACCATAAGTCAGAGACGGATTGACAGCATGTGACAACAAACTGTAGTTAATCAGGACCCTTGGGCACCTTTTGGCTCTTTAGTGTCAAGAAGGGACTCTTTCTTTCTTTATATCAGAACATTGCGCACTTTAAAAATTATGGACATGTCTGAAATATACATAAAATTGAAAATATATTAAATATTAAAATAAGAAGACTATTTGAAAACAAATTAAATATTAAAATAAGAAGACTATTTTTGACCAAAGTGGGTTACTTCAATTGCGTTATATCGGCTCTTACCTCGGGAGTGAACTCTTTTGATATTAGTTGTCTGGAGAGACCTTGTCAGAGTGAGCTTCTGAGATTTGGCCTCCCTGGCATAAAGTGGAAATAACGTGAATTCAACTTAATTGTGAAGAAACAACATCCAGAATGATTATTAGGAAGTAAATAGAGCTTTGCTTTGGGTGAAGACCACCAGCCATGCTAGAGGCCTCTAATGCGTCCATAGACTTTGCAAATTTCTGCAGTGGCAGATAGATTGTTTCCCCCCCCCCCTTATTCCTCTGAGCATGCTCTTGCAGTTATAATGAGTTCCCAAACTGTTTTCTCATTTACTGGAAAAAAAGAGAAGAAATTGGGAAGGCTGGCATGTCTTTCCTTACTTTTAGTCATTTGACATTTAACTTGCTCCGCTGTGGTTTTTAATCTGTATCCTTTCCATTTTAATGGTTTTTAACCAATACTTTGCTTGATTTCTATGGTTTTACAATGGGGCCGACTTATGAGAGTTTATTACGGTTTTCGCTAAATGTTGGTTCCATATGCTTTGATTTCTTTTTAAAACTTTGAGTGCTATCTTTTAGAGGAAAGGTGGGTTATAAATGTAATAAATCGATAAAGAAATTTGCCAGTGGAGAATGCATAAAATATGCTTCCCCCGTTGCATTAATAACACTTACCATTCTTAGGGCTACAATTTAGGAAGAAAAGAATAATTAATACCAGTAGTACTGGTATGGGCGGCAAATAGTATGAGGAGAATGGCGTCTAGCAGATGAATGACTGATCTCCCATCCCAAGACATTCCTTGTGCTCAGATTTTCAGGACATTTACCTCCTCCTGGAAAAGTATCTTGTGGCACCTTAAAAGACTTACACGTTTTAATTGTATGATCTTTCGTAGCCCATTTTTTGACATCTCATCCCTTCATGGTCAGTTAGCAAGCACGAACCCAAGATGTGCAAAGAGGAATAGAACCTCTATGCCCTTTGGAAATAACAAGAACCAAGCTGTAACTTTTTACAATGGGCCATTGGTAGTACCTTTTTCTAGTACCCCTTCTTTTTGGGACATAAAAGCTGCAGTGTGATAAATAAGGACTGCAGAGAGAGTTTTGCGAAGCTTTATTTCAACAAGTTTGCAAAGGCGGTTGGAGGGAGGTATAGAATGGATGGCTCTCGTCTAGCAAGTTAGGACCGCTCCTAAATAGCTTTTCCTTATTTGCCAATAATATTTCATTTGGGCGGAACTAATGAGAATGAAGACCTTTGGTTGGGCGATCGGATTTCAAAGCAGGAGGGTAAGGCAATAAGCTCACGGTCCAGATGACCCTATCCATTCAAAATGGGCCCATCTGCTGAATCCTTGTCTGTCTTATTGGAATACTTGCTGAGGAGAAGACAAATTTGATAGGACTGGAGGCATGCTGTGCACGCACACACAGATTCAGTGTGGCTATGTGTCCTAGTTTATAGAGAACAGTCTTTTATTTGAAGAGTTATTGTGAGGTGCCCCTCTATTTGAAGGCATCTTCCAGCCAATGGTCCATCTTACCTATGTTCTGGTTAGAGATAAATACCCAAAAGAAGGGAAAGCAGGGCGGGTCATGGTGTTCTTCCTTGACTAGATAGTGAGATGTACTGTTATTCCTACTTGAATGAAATGCAGATCTCTATATGCAAATAATTACTATATGAAAAAGTTCTAGAAATCTGTGCCATCTTTTGTTCTTTTATGGATGGTCAGATGTCTTTTCTTTGATAATGTCTAAGTGACCACTTGTGCACAGCATAGCAGATTCAGCTGTGATTCAAATATTGTTTGAGCCAGGAAGCTGAAATTATCAAATGTCAAGAAATGGTTGCACACAGAGAGCTAACTGGGACTCTTACTGTGGCCAGCGATAGTAATATCACTCAGTTACCATTCATAGGTGGACCATGACATTTTCCTGCTTGGGGCAGAACAAATGTTGTGCATATGTGTGTGTATGCACATGTATACATGTGCGCACACATGCATGCATTCACGCACGTACACACATACACACACACAAAGAGAGAGAGAGATGTAAATAAACATACATGGCACCTGAAGCCAGCCATGTTCTTTTTGAGGCAGAAAATCTCACAAACATATTTCCCTATTTCTGGGAACAAAAACAAAGTAAATAATGGGTTGCTGCCTTGTCAAGACACCCAAAATCTGCTGCATGAAGTGGGTACCTCAGTCTGGCTTATGATAGTCAGGCTGCCTCACATAAAGTGTGAAATAAAGTAAGGTTTTTGCTGA